CAAAGAAACAGAGCTTTACAATGAGCCTACAACATCTGAAAATGAGTAAGTGTGAAGTGAGACTGCACATTGGCCTGTGTCATGCACTTGTTTTTGCCAAGAAGAAGATTGCATTTCATGGTTATTTCAAAATATTGATTTCTGGAATTTGATTTGTGGAGGGGGAAAGGAGGCGCCAAGCATCTTCTCGTGATGCTTTCCATAGCTGATGGTGCTCAGAAATGGAGGGTGGAGTTGGCACATTGGGATGTACCACTGGATCTGTGGTTTTAGAAAACACTTCTTTATTTGAATAGGGAAAGAACTGCCAGATTCGACTGGTATTTTCACAAGTAACTTGGTACGCACCTCTATTTTGGATACTAAGGATAAGGCAATGTTGTTTGATTTGAGTAAATTTGCAGCAAGGGAAGAAAATACTCCCTTATAGGGGGACTGGGATACCCTCCTCCAGGAAAAGTTTGTTAAACTGACTGCTATTTGGGGCAATCTAATGCATTTCAAAGGCAAAAAATATGCTTATAATATTTATGAGATAAACATCACTGCTAACAGGGATGGTTAAGCAATTTCTGGGAGGGAGGGAGGTTGTTGAATAAACTAAATATAGCGAAATCTTCCATTCTTGTTTTAGATCAAAAACTTTTATGGCACAAGGACAATTTCAAAAACAACAATAGAAACCTCTGGAAAATTTTAGCAAACCCAGCAGGGATATTTTTGTGTTCTAGTCATGGCCTTGTTCTTTTGTTTTATTTATCTGATTTAATTTCTAGAAGGTCCATCTTCCTGGATCCAGTTCAGAAATAAAAAATCTGATGAATAAAAACTGGATTTGATGACCCAGAAAAATGAGCCCGTAGCAGAATGTTGTTCTAGAGGACATCCCCTTTAAGTACAGCATGGTCCTGCAGGTGCTCCACCCTCAGCAACCTTGTAATTTTTGCGATAACTCACTCACAGACCAGAATAATTAAAGTCAAACCCTCCTATGTGGGATCTTATTTATTAAGGCCTGGATCCACTAAGTGACTTTAGTGTTGCAATGCCCAGTCTCATGGCACCTAACTTTACGGTGCCTAGAAAATCACAGGAAGAACACTGTGATCCACAGAGCCTGAGTTAGGCAGCTAGGCTCACTATAACATGAATGGGGAAAGACAGGTGTCTTCCAATGCAGTCCACAAAAGTCAGCATGCTAGGCGGGGAGACTCCTAAGCTAGCCAATGAGATATGCTGATGAGAGGGCTGTGTGATAACACCATCCAGATAAGCACCTAAGTCTGGGCTCCACAGAGGCGCCTAGCTATGCTACAAAGAGTCCTGTGGCACCTTATAGACTAACAGAAGTACTGGAGCATAAGGTTTCGTGGGCGAATACCCGCTTCATCAGGCGTCTGATGAAGTGGGTATTCACCCACGAAAACTTATGC